ATGCTCAGGCCCTTCCCGCCTCTGACGGCTCTGCTGCAACAGTTCCCAGGGGTGACCTGAGCCAGGACCTGGTTGCACGCGGGGGGAATGTTTCAACCACGGCCTGTGTTCATTCCTACGTTAACATGATCCCTTTTCGTTTCCTTTGCTGCTCTGGAAAGCAATGCTGTCCAGGCCGGTGCCAAGGCTAAGGTGCCCAGAGAAGGTGCGTTCAGGCAGGTCCCCCCACAGCCCCTGGGTCTCCTGCCTGGCATGGCCTACTCAGGCCGCCTGCTCTAAGAGGAAGGGTCCTCCTGCCTATAGACTCCTATCCAATGCCAAGCACAAGGCTCCTCAGTGGCCCCGCCCAGACCCATCCTGTGCTGAGAGGAAGGAGCAGCTCCAGGAGGGACCCTTGCTCTGAGCACAGGCCCCTCCTGACCCTGAGCTCTGAGAACTGGAAGTGTTTAACTTGGATTGAGGAGCATTGAAAGCTTCATTTATTTATAGCTTGTCTAAAAACAGTGTTGATAAGAAATCTTTGGTTATTCATGCAAATGCTGAGTTGATGGGAGACAAGTCATAATCTAATTGTTTTTGTCGAGGTTAAGAGTGAATGTTGCTGATGAAATCAACGTGAAAAGGAGAAAGAAAAATAAAAGGAAATGCTCAAAGCTCAGGTGACTTTGTTTTTATTGTGTGTGAGCATATTTTTTAATGTTTACCTGGGGATCTTTCTTTTTACACCCCTCCCCCTTGCTCCCCCCACACACATTCCCTCTGAGATTCTGCAGTAATTTCTATGCTTACATGTCTCTGAATTCACTCCATTCATCAGTGTTTTATTCATTAGACTCTATATATGAGTGAGATCAAGTAGATATCCCCTGGCTCCTCATCATGTCACTACAAGAGAGTATTCATTTTTACTGCTGCATGGTATTCCCTGGTATCAATGTACCACAGTTTTTCATCCACTCATCTACTGATGGGTACTTGGACTCTTTCCAATGTTATGGGTTCAATCAGCGAGATAGACCACCGACTCAGAATTTAAATTTAAGAGCCTTTATTAAGGTGGCCCGCGACTACAGCACGTACCTCCACACAGGGAGCCGCGCAACAGCAGTACGGACCGAAGGTGCAGCAAAACTTTTATTTGCAAAAACTACAAAGCGTTAACTGGCAGGGTAAAAAGTTTGGGAGGAAAACGGGGTCACACCTGGCTGGGTTCTATCATATCACTGTTTCTTTAAAGCAATCAGTAATTTTTCTATGCCACGGTCCCTGCCCCCAACACATTCAGTAATCTTTCCATGCCAGGGTCCCTGCCCCCAGCACATTCAGTAATCTTTCCATGCCACGGCCCTTCCCCTAGCACATTCCCTATTGGTCTTATGCCTGAATCAAATCTTTGATTCAGCGCCCTCCTCTACGATCCTGGAGTATTGAGTGTGTAAAACCATCAACTTTACAGCTTGTATTTAATTTTGTATGAAATTGAGGAGGCATTTGGCAATGCAGGGGCCGAATAGTAACCCTAGGAGGAGCAGAACGACTGGTCCTGCCAAGGAGGAATGCAGGGTAGTTAGCCAGGGGAACCAGGAAAGTAAATTCTCCTACCAATTGCCCTTGGCCTTTCTAGCCTCTTCTCGGTCAGCCAGCCGTTTTCGCAGCTGGCTAAGGCTTTCCCTGGTCACCCCCAAGTGGTTGGTGTAGAAACAGCAGGTCTCCCCTAGGGCCAGACAGAGGCCTCCCTGCTTTAGGAAAAGCAGATCTAGACCTCGTCTGTTTTGTAACACTACCTTTGCAAGTGAACTGAGGGAGTCCTCCAGTTGGCCAAGGGATTTTTCCAGAGTTCTTAAGTCTTGATCTGTCTGCCTACTAAACTCTATAATTTTCGTGGCTGGTTACTAGGGTGGCTGTTCCAATGGCCGTGGATCCTGCTAGTCCTAGTCCCATAAGGAGGGGGACTAGGATGGGGGCCCTTTTATCCCTCCTGGGTTCTAGGTTTAAATGTTCTCGACCCCCTTCTCTTGAATAGTAGTACACCTGAGGGAGTATATTCGTCAGGATGCATAGTCCAGGGTCCATCGGGTTCTGGAGGACTGGAGGGAAGATGCAAGGGATTACACCAGTTGTACATGCCCACCAAGTTCCTTCCGGTGCTACTAAGTATGTGGGCCCAGCAGAGGTTTGGCTGCGGCTGGGTGTTGTGGCAGGCTTGGCCTCCCTGGCTTGTCTAGGGGACACAAGGGGCCAATCGGGTTGAGCTGCCGGGGAAGAGTCTGGCATTGGATGGTGAAGAATTGGCCAGGGTCTC